AACACATTCTATGAGGCCAACATCACCCTGATACCAAAGCCAGACAAGGACAATGCAAAGAAGGAAAATTACAGTCCAATATCACTGATGAACATATATGCAAAAATCCTCAACAAAATATTGGCAAACCGCATACAGCAATACATTAAAAAGATCATACACCATGATCAAGTGGGATTTATACCAGGGACACAGGGATGGTTCAACATCCACAAATAAATCAATGTGATATGCCACATTAACAATGAGGAATAAAAACCACATGATCATCTCAATAGATGCAGAGAAAGTATTTGACAAGATCCAACATCCATTTATGATAAAAACTCTTAATAAAATGGGTATAGAAGCAAAGTACCTCAACATAATAAAGTCATATATGACATACTCACAGCCATATTTGTCATATATGTCATATGCCATATTTGTCATATATGACAAACCCACAGCCAATATCATACTCAGTGGGGAAAAACCGAAAGCCATCCCTCTGAGAACAGGAACAAGACAAGGGTGCCCACTCTCACCACTCTTATTCAACCTATTATTGGAGGTTTTCGCCAGAGCAATTAGGCAAGAAAAAGGAATAAAAGGAATCCAAAAAGAAAGAAATGAAACTCTTGCTGTTTACAGAGGACATGATTGTAAATATAGAAAACCCTAAAGAATACATTGCAAAATTATTAGAAATAATCAACAACTAAGCAAAGTTGCAGGGTACAAAATCAACTTACAAAAATCAGTTGCATTTCTATAATGATGAACTAACAGAAAGAGAACTCAAGAAGACAATCCCATTTACAATTGCAACAAAAGAATAAAATATCTAGGAATAAATTTAACCAAGGAGGTGAAAGACCTATACAATGAAAACTGTAAGACATTATTGAAAGAAATCAAGGATGACATAAAGAAATGGAAAGATATCCCATGCACATGGACTGGAAGAATAAACATAGTTAAAATGTCCATACTACCTAAAGCAATCTACAGATTCAATGCAATCCCAATCAGAATCCCAAGGACATTCTTCATGGAAGTAGAACAAAGAATACTAAAATTCATACGGGGCAACAAAAGACCCTGAATAGCTAAAGCAATCTTGAGAAAAAAGAACAAAGCTGGAAGCATCACAATCCCTGACTGCAAAATATACTACAAAGCGATAGTAATTAAAACAGCATGGTACTGGTACAAAAACAGACACACAGATCAATGGAACAGAATTGAAAGCCCAGAAATAAAACCACACATATATGGACAGCTAATCTTTGACAAAGGAGCTAAGAGCATACAATGGAGAAACGAAAGTCTCTTCAATAAATGGTGCTGGGAAAACTGCAGAGCCCCACGCAAAAGAATGAAAGTAGACTATTTTCTTTCACCATGCACAAAAATTAACTCAAAATGGATCAAAGACCTGAAGGTAAGACCTGAAACTATAAAACTCCTGGAAGAAAACATAGGCAGTATACTCTTTGACATCGGTCATAGAGGGATGTTTTCAAATTCCATGTCTACTCAGACAAGGGAACCAATGAAAAAATAAACAAGTGGGACTTCATCAGACTAAAGAGCTTCTGCAAGGCAAATGAAACCAGGATCAAAATGAAAAGTCAACCCACCAGCGGGGAGAAAATATTTGCAAATCATATATCTGACAAGGGGTTATCTCCGTAATATATAAAGAACTCACACAACTGAACAACAAAAAAAACAAACAACCTGATCAAAAAATGGACAGGGGGGGCTGGCCTGGTGGTGTAGTGGTTAAGTGCACGTGCTCCACTTTGGTGGCCGGGGGGTTTGCAGGTTCAGATCCTGGGCGCGCACCGATGCACTGCTTGTCAAGCCATGCTGTGGTGGCGTAGCATACAAAGTAGAGGAAGATGGGCACGGATGTTAGAACAGGGCCAATCTTCCTCAGAAAAAAGAGGAGGATTGGCATTGGATGTTAGCTCAGGGCTAATCTTCCTCACCAAAAAAAAAAAAATGGGTGGAGGGTATGAACAGATATTTTTCCAAGGAAGATATACAGATGGCCAATAGGCACATGAAAAGATGTTCATCACTCATCATCAGGGAAATGCAAATCAAAACTACACTAAGATATCACCTACACCCATTAGAATGGCTACACTCACCAAGACAAAAAATAACACGTTGGTGAGGATGTGGAGAAACAGGAACCCTAATTCACTGCTGGTGGGAGTGCAAACTGGTGCAGCCTCTATGGAAAACAGTATAGAGATTCCTCAAAAAATTGAAAATAGAAATACTCTATGATCCAGCTATCCCACTACTGGGTATTTATCCAAAGATCCTGAAATCAACAATCCAAAGAGGCTTATGCACCCCTATGTTCATTGCAGCATTATTCACTATAGCCAAGAAGTGGAAGCAACCCAAGTGTCCCTCGACTAATGAGTGGATAAAGAAGATGTGGTATATATACAATGGAATACTACTCAGCCATAACAAAAGACAAAACAGTCCCATTTGCAATAACATGGATGGACCTGGAGGGTATTATGTTAAGCGAAATAAGCCAGACAGAGAAAGACAAACACAGCAATGATTTCACTCATATGTGGAAGATAAACTAACACATGGACAGAGAGAACAGTTTGGTGGTTCCCAGGGAGTAGCAGGTTGGGGTGTTGGCAAAAGGGGTGAAGGGATACAATTATATGGTGACTGACAAACAATAATGTACAACTAAAATTTCACCATGTTACAAACTATTATGACATCAATTAAAAAAAAACTATTAAAGCTATAAAATAAAAATGGGCAGAGGATATGGACATTTTTCCAAAGAAGATATACAGATGGGCAAGAGGCACATGAAAAGATGTTCAACATCACCAATTACCAGGGCAATGTAAATCAAAATTACAATGAAATATCACCTCACACCCGTAAGAATGACTATAATTAACAAGACAAGAAATAACAAGCGTTGGAGAGGATGTGGAGAAAAGAGAACCCTCACACACTGCTGGTGGGAATGCAAAATGGTGCAGCCACTATGGAAAACAGTGTGGAGAGTCCTCAAAAAATTAAGAATAGAACTACCATATGATCCAGCTATTCCACTGCTGGGTATTTCTCCAAAGTACATGAAAACATGAATGTGTAAAGATATATGCACCCCTATGTTCACTGCAGCATTATTCACAATAGCCAAGACTTGGAAACCTAAATGCCCATCAAGGGACAAATGGATAAAGAAGATGTGGTATATCTACACAACGGAATACTACTCAGCCACAAAAAGTGATGAAATCTTGCCATTTGCGACAACATGGATGGACCTTGAGGGTATTATGTTAAGCAAAATACACCAGACAGAGAAAGACAAACATTGAACGATTTCACTCATATGTGGAAGACAAACACATGGATAAGGAGAACAGATTAGTGGTTACCAGAGGGGAAGGGGGGTTGGCAAAAGGGGTAAAATGGTACATATATACTGGTGACAGATAAAAACTAGGCTATTGGTGGTGAACACGATGCAGTCTATACAGAAAGTGATATATAATAATGTACACTTTAAATTTACACAATTTTATAAGCCTATATGACCTCAATAAAATAACTAAAAATAAATAAATAAATAAATAAAAGGGCCGGCCCCGTGGCTTAGCAGTTAAGTGCGCGTGCTCTGCTACTGGCGGCCCGGCTTTGGATCCCGGGTGCGCACCGACGCACCGCTTCTCCCACCATGCTGAGGCCGAGTCCCACATACAGCAACTAGAAGGATGTGCAACTATGACATACAACTATCTACTGGGGCTTTGGGGGGGGGAAAAAAAAGGAGGAGGATTGGCAATAGATGTTGGCTCAGGGCTGGTCTTCCTCAGAAATAAATAAATAAAAGGCATCAAAACTGGAAAGGAAGAAATACAATTATCTCTATTCACACATGGCGTGATCCTATATATATAAACACCCAAAGAATCCACCAGAAAGCTGCTAGAGCTCATAAATGACATCAGCAAAATGTCAGGGTACAAGATCGACAGAAAGTAGATTAGAGGTTACCAGGCACCTTGGGGGAGGGAAAATGGGGAGTTATTGCTTAATGGGTGCAGAGTTCCTGTTTGGGGTGATGAAAATGTTTTAGAAACAGATGGTGGTGATGGATGCACAACATTGTGAATGTACTTAAAGGCACTCAATTGTATACTTAAATTGTTAAAATGGCAAATTTTACATTATATATATTTTACTACAATTTTAAAAAGTAGAAAAAAACAAAAACAAATCTATTTTACTAAATTTACAAATGGATGTTAAAATATTTAAGAGAATTTAGCTAAGCTGTAAGTGGTACTGATTGTTTAAGAGAGTTCATTCTCTTCACTTGTGTTGATAAGACATTGATCAAACTTCACTTTAATAGAGCAGGATGATTTGTAAGGAAAAACTAAGATTTTGTATTTGCAATTTTAATTCATTAAATATTAATTCTTACAACCCAGTAGCTGCAAACAACTTTCTATGAACAAAAGCTGCCTTCATAGACATAAAAAAAAAATATCTCGTATTGACCTGCAACTTTTAGATTTTCAGTAATTTAAATATTTTTAAATTAAAAAAAATTTATATAATATATATAATTTTTAAATTTTCACAAAGAAAAAAACAAAAAGACTCTCTGGAAAAAAAAATCCAGACATCAGAATTATATCTTTCTGAATAACAAATAACATAATGTAAGAAATCAATGTCCTCATACCTCCCCAAGTGTCGATGTGGATTTTTTTCCACCATATGTACAGGAAAAGAAGGCCAGACAGGAAGAACTGGGACGTGGTGTTTGCCCAGGCAGATCCTCTGAAGGAGAAAAAGTAATCATTACCTGGGAGTATATTCCCCCCAAGTACTAATAAACACACCACCCCTGACAAGCTTTGGCTCTGAGTAAGAATCAGTTCTTAGAGGAATCCAGAACTCCTGGACTGTTTCCTTTTAATATTTTATACACCATATCCACTTACAGTAGACTTGTTTCCTTTCCACCAACATTGAATATTGTAGAAGAACGAATGTTACTATTCATTAATGGAAAAACAAAAAGACATAAATATTTGTCACCATTCCTTGTCTTAACAACTTTAAATAGCCCATCAAATAAATTCTCACACATAATTAGTTAAAAGGGATCTAGCAAACAGCTACTGTGTTCAAAATACTGGTCTAAGGTCACAGCAGTTTTATTTCCCAGGATTATAATAAATTTGTTTTCTATTAGAAAACAACCTTAGATCATCTTCAATAGATGACACTGTATCACCACAAATAAAATGATGTCCCGTTCCACAGAGAGCCAGAACTTTGCTTTCCCTTCTATTTTTTCATTTTGCTCTCCGGACCAATCCTCACATTTTATCACTTATTAATTCATTCCTATATGTTCTCCTCTTACCCAGCTATCCCCAAACTGTCCTTTGTACATCTGTTCAAGAAACTTCTAAGAGACAGTCTCTGAGGTACATCTGCAGAGGAGAACCTGGATGCCCACCCAGGTGTTTCTGTGGGTCAACGTCACCAGTTCTCAAACCTGCCTGCTGACTCTTACGTCCCCCAGGGCCAAAGCCTCTCTCAGTTTTCTGGCATAGGAAGATGTTATAAATGTTTTTTCATTGATTGCTCTTGTGTTCCAACTCTCCACTATCCTTTAATTAATGGCTTTTGTATATATTTTTTACTGCAATGGACAGTAAGAAATAAATTTTCCATCCCTATCCAGTACCCACATTAATATATGTACACACACATCCTACAGAAACAAAAGTCTCATGAAAAACACCCCCATACCACCTTATATTTTCTATTCTATTTAATGTATTTTATTTCATTCATAATATATTTTTTAAAGTGCTAGTCACGACCCACTAAACTGGTTCTCATTTATAAAGAAACACACTGCCCCAAAGCACCTAAAAACTGCTGAGGCTGGGTCTACGAGTGCTGGCCTGACCACGCCAGCCACACTCGAAGAAGGCTGGCTCTGGGCCGGCGCACCACAGGGGTCGTCAAGTGAGGGATGGACCAACAGCACGGTGCCTACCGAGGGAAGTTTAAATGGACACTGCCTTCTCTGTGTGACCCTTGCCTTCTCGAGCTTCGTGAAGATGGAATTTGGCCCCATTTCTTACAATGCAGAGACAATGGGAGAATCCCCACAGGCATCTGCCCCGCTCTGGCCTTTGCTCCGGCGCCCATCTCAGTTTTCACAGGCTGCAGCAATGGCCTCCTCCGGGCTAACTCCTCTTCCACACGCGGGTGTCGGCGCACACACTGCTCCTTCCACAACACTCTCCCGTCTCCCCAGATGAAGCCCAGCCTCTCCTCCCTTCCCACAGCCTGGGCTGGCTGCCCCTCGTGGGTGTTCACCGCACCAGCTCTCACCCTGTCACACGGAGCACCTGAATACCTCTGGGTATTTCCTGCCAGGCGGCTTCACTCCCCTATATCCCAGCCCCTAGGCCTGGAGCCAGCACCCAGTGGACACACAGTATTTGATGAATGAACGGGTCACGACTTACACCACTCCGAGGTCCAGGGCATACAGCAGGAGAGCATTCATGCCCACGTTGACGACATTCGCTGCAATCCCAGTAATAACCTGAGGCATGACGACGCCCTGAAATCCCCAGATATGAAAACATTAGCATTTTCAAAAGCTAATTATTTAGGTGGTGTGAAATAATAGAAAACATATGTATTGGTCTCTGCCCCCGGTTCCCAACCCAGAGCTCCTAAAACCCTTGCAATTTCCTGAGTGATAAGAGCACTAGGTGCATCTTTTGTCTGGTATTTGGTCTTGGACCCTGGTTCTTGACACAGAGTTCCTAAATCCCTTGGGATTTCCTGAGTGATAGCAGTGTCTTTCGTTCTAATGAGGTGACTCTGGGGGGACTCCTGGATGGCTCCTGGATGGGGGCTGGTCACCAGAAAGGCCAAGCCATGATGAGGAGATTGGAATTTTCAGCCCCACCCCCTATTCTCCAGAGAGAGGAGAGGGGCTGGAAATGGAGTTAATGATTGATCATGCCCACATGAGGAAGCCTCCACAAAAACCCCAAAAGTACAGGGTTTGGAGACCTTGCAGGTTGGTGAACATGTGGACATGCTGGGCAAACGGCATGTCCTGAGAGGGCATGGAAGCTCCGCGCCCCTTCCCACACAGCTCCTGCCACGCATCTCTTCCATCTGGATATTCATCTGTATTCTTTGTCACATCCTTTTATAATAAACTGGTAAACTGTAAGTAAACTGTTTTCCTGAGTTCTGTGAGTCATTCTAGCAAATTAACTAAACCCCCAGGAGTGGGTCATGGGAACCTCTGATCAGTCAGAAGCACAGGTGACAACCTAGACTTGCGATTGGCATCTGAAGTGGGGGCAGTGTTGTGGGACTGAACCCTTTACCTGTGGGATCTCACACCACCTCCAGGTAGATAGTGTCAGAATTGGGTTGGGACACCCAGCTGAATTGCTTGCTGTGGGAAAAAACTCCACACATCTGATGTCAGAGTGTTGTGAGTATGATAGTGGTGTGAGAGGAAAGGAGAAACGCAGGAGGAAGACTGTGTTTTTCCTAAACAGGTGGTCAACTGAACATTCGGAGGTAAATAGGCAACAATTTTAAACGACAGCAAAGTTACACAAGACACCCTATGGAAACAGCCAGGAGTCAAAACCACTGGACGCATCTCCTCCACTGGTGCAGCTTCCAGCCAAACCAGCCAGAAGTTTGTAAACACGTCTGAACGACCTGGTAGGTCATAGTTTCCATCACAGTAACAAAGAGAAAAGAGAGGGAATAATCACATGAAGAGCAAATTGGGTCCTGGCATGAGGTGTAAAGGAAAGACCATTTGTGGGACTGTGGTGTGGGTTCATCAGTTGTCTTACACAAAACACCCAGCAATGCCTCCCTCGTAGCAGGTGTGCAGTCAACGTTCACCCCTTTATTTTACAGCGCCACAGTCACTCACTTCTTTTGTATCTCTTGCCTACTCTACACTAGTACTCAGATGAACATTTTCTTTAAGTAAGACTTCTACACTTTTTCCCCTGCATTTACAGAGTTGCTGTCAAAGCAGAATGGCTTCCATGGACAAAAGGTAACAGGAAGGCAGTTAGAGGGACTGGGGAGGAGCCACAGTGAGGCAGAGCTCGGGCCCCTCACCTCTGCCCACACTCACTCTTGCCCTCCGCCTTCTCCTCTGCTCCCCTTCTCCCTCTGGTGGACTGAGGGCACAGTGATCCCTGTGCACTTCTGGGAATGTGGCCGTAGGAACTGGGTCCTCTTCCTCTAAAAGGGAAGCACCAGAACCAGGCCTGAGGCCAGATGCAAAGCAAGCAGCCAGCCCACAGAAGAGGTAAGGGGTGGGGTGTGGGGGCTGCAGAGGGAAACAAGAGGTGACCCGCAGTAATCTGACAGATTGATACGGGCTTCTCTCCCGGGCTGGACAAAATCCACCTGCAAGACTCCACGTCTCCCGAACAAAGAGCTCTGGGTAGAATTTCAGGAAAAAAATGGTGAATGACTTTTACGGAAAATTTCCTAAGAATATTTACTGTACATTTCCAGTATTATGGAGTAAAAATATTAAAACAATCTGTACCTGATTTTGTAAATATCTTGTCTGCAGCTGGAACAGGAATACTACCTATAAGGTAAAATAGAAAAACAAACACATCTCATTAATATAAAAGTATAAGTCAAGAGTTTATGGCAGTTCTGGTTTTTAATAAGATATTTCCTCTCGATATGTGACCTCAAATTGAGAGAACCAGACCCACACTAATCAAATGCTAGGATGCCAACTCTTTGGAATTTTCCGGAGTGGACCCCCTGAAGAGCTGACAAGGGCAAACCCTAACCGGCAGAAGCAGAAGTCGCTCGCTGCCCTGACATCTCAGTGGCTCCGAGAGTGCCTGCTGGTGGTTCTTCCCAAAATCCCACAGGAGCCCGGGAAACATTCTGATTAATTTGCAATCAAAAGTAACCACAGGGGCCGGCCCCGTGGCTTAGCGGTTAAGTGCGTGCGCTCTGCTGCTGGCGGCCCGGGTTCGGATCCCGGGCGTGCACTGACGCACCGCTCCTCCGGCCATGCTGAGGCCACGTCCCACATACAGCAACTAGAAGGATGTGCAGCTATGACATACAACTATCTACTGGGGCTTTGGGGAAAAAGAAATTGAAAAAAAAAAAAAAAAGTAACCACAGACTAAGGTAGGAAATTTCTTCCCCTCGTCGGTGTCTGTATTTAAGCTGTTGGCCATCATAGTGGCACAAGCTCTGAGAATCAGTAAGGTGGGGATGACAGGCCCAAGAAATACATGTCGAACTTTTGCCTGAATAGAACTATGATAAAACAAACAAACAAACAAAAAGAGGGCAGAGACACGTGCCTGACAACATTCATGAGCTGCTTCATGTACCGAAACACAAGAAAATCCTTGACACTTACGGGAAGAGCAGGAATAAAAGCCATCACATAAATCTGGGCTATCCTGAAATAAACAACAAAATAGTCTTTAGTTAATATTAAAACAATTGCTGGTAATACTGTCTGCAAATTGAATCCCTAGACTATATTCTAAAAATTAAAACTAAAAATAATTTATATGGGAAAATTTAATAACAATTTTAAGTGATTGTTCTCTACAATCTAAATCAACATTACGCTAGGCCTGCTAAATGTCTGCTTTCTAAGGGGAAGTCTGACTTTACAATTTTTAGCTCATTCTTAACAGAAAAGGGGGAATGAACACAGCAAAACGCACTAAAAGTTGGGCAAAATTCAGAAAATGTTTCAAGAGAGTCAGCGAAGCAAGCCCAACAGTAGTCATCTAGAAATGAGAGACCCTCCTTGCATCTCACGTACCCCGGTGACAATATCAGAAAGCATGGAACTGTAGGTTAAAAAAACCCAACTCTAAAAACAAAAGTGAAGGCAACTGTGTTGCTATTCTACTTTTCTCAGGAGAAAAATATTCTGTGCATTTGCAAAACACCAAAATGGAGGAACTCCATGAAAGGTCGACTGGGGCCAAGTGTATTATATTCTCATCCTGTGTCTTTTCACCCTGGGCAGGGTGTCAGGTCACTGTGTCAGTCTGCGTCAGGTGGTCCCTCCCAGCCCTGGGATTCTGTGGTCCACAGTCACAGCTTCCACTTTCCATAGGGTTCAAGTCCAGGTAAATGTCAACATAGGTAACATGACCAGACAGTCACTTACTCTGAACCTGGGATTCTGACATTAGAGACGCTGCTGACCTGGAGACTTCGGGGTCTTGTTTTAAGAGCAGGAGGATATGCTCGGTATTGATGAAGACGGCCCAGCAAGGAAAGCAACACAGCATCAAGATGAGGATTCCTCTTTGAAGTATGATCCCCACACGTTTTAGGTTCTTGCCTCCAAAGGACTTGAGAAAACAAACACAATGATAAAGAATGCCAGCTGGACTAGGCAAGCCAAGGCCTGGACCACCTGCACTACAAACAGCCCCCCAAGGGGAAGTGCCCTGCCCGCCACCCCTGCCGCCAGGCAGCCACGTTTCCTGCCATCAGCTCCCCACTCCAGCATCTAAGCCAAGGGCAGCCAGTGAGACAGTTGGTGCCAGTGGCATTTTAAACACACCCTGGGATGATGAGTCCCCTGTCCTGGGAACAGGGACAGTTAGACATGGAGGGCACTGGCAGCAGAGACCAGAGCTTAGAAGGTATGGGAAGAACTGGGCCCATGTTAGAGCCTTCACATTTATTCAGCAAATATTCCTTGAACTCCTAACGTGTGCCAGACATATCTGAGGCCCCAGGAACTAACCCAGCAGTGAACAAAGCAGGCAGAAGTCCCTGCTCTCATGGAGCTGACTTTCTAGGGGGAAAGGGAGACAAACAGTAAACAGGAGAAATAACCAAGACCTAGAGTACACTGTCTAGGATGTGGCGGTAAGTGCTGTGGAGAAAAGGGAAGAGGGACAGAGTGTTGGAAGGGGAGTGCAATTTTTAAACGGGGGTTGGGGAGGCCTCACTGAGAAGATGATATCGGGCAAAGCCCCCTGCGAGCTGAGAGAGTGAGCTGGGTGGACATCTGGGAGAGGCACAGGAGGGCGGCCAGCGTGGCTGGAACCAGAGCGGGGGAGGGCAGCAGGCCCAGCAGTCTCCACAGTGAAACGGGGTCACTGGAGCATTCTAAGCAGAGGGATGACAGAATCTGACCGATGTTTAAGAGTGAGGAGGGGACAGAAGCCACAAGTGAGCAGCCGGGAGGCCAAAACAGAGATCAGAGAGCGGGCGATGGAGGGACAGGGCTGCACCAGAGAGAAGCAGACCCGACGGAGGTGAAGGGGCTAGTCCCCACATTGGCCCTGGCCAAATCTAGGCCTTGTGTATCCTTTTCCAGGCACCTTTTTCTTCAAGTAACATGAATGATTGTCTCTTTATTACAACCAAAAAAGAGTCAAACTTAAAGCACATTAAAAAAGAATGGAAACAAATTAAATAATAATAAAATAATGGAAATATAAATGACATATTATAGAATATTATGCAAATATTAAAAGGGAATGTGTACGCCTACTTCATTCACTGTGTTCTCCAAAACACATTAATTGGAGGAAAAAGTAATAATACCATATGTAGATTTTAGAATTGTGAGTGTGTAAACGTACATAGATTGAAATATTTGGAGGATATTCACCAAAAGCAGAGGTAACTTTAGGGGGAGGAGCTAAATTTTAGTGATTTTTTTCATTTTTTAAAAAACTTTTCTAGATAACCTAAAATTTCTATATGTGTTAGACCTTTGCGATCTTTTTAAAAAACTGTTTAAAATTTGGGAAACAACGTGCTATTACAGAAATATATTTAACATTACAGAAAGATGTCCATTACATATTGATAGATGGGGAAAAAAGTTAAAGATATAGTCTTTTTTGTTTAAAAAAACTGTATGAATAAAAATGACTTAAATGGTGCAAAAAAGGGACAAAAAAACTGTTTTAAAATAAAATTTCATATCCTATACCATGCTAATCCGGAGGTAATTTTAGCCTAAATTACATTAAGTCCTTTAGAGCCATGTTCAGCTTAGCCTGTAAAAACTCTTTCACAGTTTGTGCATCTCATGCACAAACTGCTGAGCAGCTGAGTGCAACAGTTCAAGAGACACTACACATGCTCAGTGCTGTTCCTTCCCATGCATGTAACCCTGTCCTCACTCTTCCAGGCTTTGGGTTTGAAGGCAGGACTCATCTATCATACACCCACCCACACCCGTCCATCCATCCACCACCCACCCACCCATCTATCCAACCATCCACCATCCATCCATCCATCCACCCATCTATCCATCCATCCATCCATCCATCCATCCATCATCCATCCATCCATCCATCCATCCATCATCCATCTATCCAACCATACATCCACTCATCCCTGCTTTGTTCTCTCCCTCCCTCTCACTCATTCAACAAATTTCTAGGGTACCCACAAAATAGCAAGCACAATTCCGAACAATAAGGATTCAAAGACTAAAAGGGATATAGTCTTTCTCCCTAAGGAGCTCAGAGTCTAGTAGGGAAACCACTATGACTCAGGTGGGTGAGACGGGAAGACACAGCGAGAAGTAAAAGACCTAGACCAGAATCTGCCTCTCCTCTGATTATGCTAGCATGCCAACCCAGAGATCCCGATCTCATGACAGGTAATAAGGACGAATGAGCAGCTTCAAGAAACGTTTAGGAGTCAAAGTCAACAGCAATCAATAGTTCTGTTAACATACGGAGATGGGAGATGAAGAAGGATTCTGGCTTGAGTAGAGGGTAGTGTATTCCTGTGAGAGGAAATCCTAGAGGAGAAACAGTTCAGAGTGGGAAAGACTGATAAACTTAGTTCTGGTTGAGCTGAGCTTGAGATGTCTTGTACATAATCCACATTCAAGTCTGGCCCTCAGGAGAAGTGGGGCAGGAGACGGAGATGTGAGTTTTCAACATCAGGGTGGAGACAGAAGCTAGGGAGAGGAAGTACTCTGCTAGAAGGTGAGGGCGTGGGGCCTCTGAGGGGCAGGGATATCTCAGAAACAGAAGAAGAACATACACCACAGACTGAGAAGGAGCAGCCAGAGAGGCAGCAAGAACGTCGGGAGGGCCCACAATGGTGGCAGCCAACCGAGTGTTGTGGAGAACAGGGAATGGCCGAGCGGGTTAAGGATGGCGAAGTGTTCACCATGATTCAGTCACAACAGACGTGGAGGAGACCAGGCTCGGTGGGATGCACAGGAATGGAAAGGCATTGACGGGCGCTGAGTCGAGAGCGGGGGTCAAGACAGGGAGCACAAAGAACACTTTCAAGAAGCTTGGCTTAAAGGAGAGGAGAGAGAGAGAGACGGAGGTGGAGTGCTGGGTGAGGGAGGGCAGTTTTAGGGCGGGAGATATCAGACAGGAAAGAAAAAGGAAAACACAGCTTCTGAGTAGATAGGCCCAGAGGACAGAATTAGTAGAGCCAACTCTACTTGCATTTACAGCCATCAGCAGCACAGTATTTGAGAAATAAAAGGCAACAAAACCAGAGTGGACAGTCCCTGGATCGTCTCTAACATGAATGGTAATTGACACAAAAAGGTATGTGGGGGAGGGTGGTCCTCACCTGAGACATTAGCGTGTCACAAGCGGAAGCCAAGCCAGTTCCAACTGAAATCCCAGTGACATTCACAATCTGCAAGGAACGACAGACCAGGTGTGGCAAGCAGCCAGGGGACTAAGCGAGAGCAGAGTCGCTGTCAAACAGCTCCCCTTAAACCAAGGAACCACGACAGCTTATCTCCAACCGGCAACCCGTAATTATACACTTAAGGCTCTATACTTCAGATCAAATGGGTGTCTACATCTACCCTTCTCGATTATCAAACAAAAATGTACCCTCTAACTAAAGGGTCACAATCAGACTGTGTCAACCAGGGGAGCTTACAACCTAGTTTTTCTTAAACAACACAGCGCGTTACAATTTCTATATTTAAAAGTTGTGGTTAACATCTGAAAGCGATGCCCCATCTGCGACGTGCATTTAATAACAATGACAGCAAATGTGTACTGAGCATGTGCCACGTGCAGGCACTGTCCCAAGCCCTTCACATATGTAGTGTTATGACCACTACTCTCACCTTATGGGTCACCTGAGCGAGGCACAGAAAGTGTTGGTCATTCAGACTGTGACCTGAAGCTGGGAATCTGGCCCCAGGCTTTAGTCCTCTAGTGAGGAATGGGACTAGTTTTGTGTCACTCTCTTCATCAGACCTCACCCAGTGCCCCTGACAAGCAAGGGCCCAGATGGTAACCTGTAGGTGAGGGTCAGGGCGGTGGGGGCAAGGAGTGGTGGGGGAGGCTGAAGACCTTCATTTTCATCCTAGGTCTCACATTTAGCAGAGATGTCAACCCCAGGTGAGCAGGGGAGTTAGCTTCTTGGCTGACCAAGACCACACACTCTAGCCCCCAAGAGTCAGTGACAGGCCCCACACAGAGTGAGTGAGCCCTGGGGCCCTGGTCCTGTGAGCAGTAGGAGGCGCCCACAGCAAAACACAATTCTGCTCTGAATTCCACCCAGGGCAGTGTCAGGGCCACAGCTCCAAAAACTCCTCAGCCTTCCAGGAAAATACAAAGATGCGCATGTCAATTACTGAAAAGTTTATATTTGAAAAAAAAGTCACACATGAGACTTTTTCTGGTAAACTGACGACTGGTTGGCTTAGGATGTTATTCCTTCTCTACAGTTTAAAGTCTATCCCCTAGTCAAGTCTGTTAGAGACTGCTTTGGTTAAAGTCAATGAGTTTTTACCAAGCTGAGCTCTGACGTCATACCTTCCCTTACAATGGTCGACTATGTAACTCAAGACGGCACAAAATTGCTTCTGTATCTCTTGTAGCTAATTGCCAGGACACCGTCTTCCACATCAGAGTGCCCACTTTATGAGACTCTACAAGAGAAATTCCTCTAGGACTCAGTATCAAGAAAGGCCCTCCTCAGCCCGGTGGCGCAGGCGGTTAAGTGCGCGAGCTCTGCTGCGGCGGCCCACGGTTTGCTGGCTCGGATCCCGGGCGCACACCGACGCACCGCTTGTCAAGCCATGCTGTGGCAGCGTCCCATATAAAGTAGAGGAAGATGGGCACAGATGTTAGCTCAGGACCAGTCTTCCTCAGCAAAAAAAGGAGGATTGGCAGATGTTAGCTCAGGGCTGATCTCCTCACACACAAAAAAAGGCCCTCCTTCCCCTGAGTCGATGGCCTGGAAACCTCTCAGGCACTAGGAATCATGGGCTGGGCCTTTGGGTGGGATTGCGGCCTCTCTGGTGCTACTCACCCCAGCTTCAGTCTTTTTCCATCCATGTTTCTTTGACCCATCCTACTAGCCAGTGACTTATCCTTCTGTACTGAAAGTATTTTTATAAACAAACTCAAATTCTTTGTGGAACAAGGTTGGGTATAAATAAATGTTCTTTTATTTAAAAAACACTTTTGTAAAATCTTCTCATACTATATACAGAAATCTTCTCATACTATATATAGAATTTTTCATAAGGTAAACATTTTTTGGCTTTCATAAATAGTTTTCTTGAAATTGAACCTATTATCTGCCTCACTATTAGTTACAGTTTAATAGCTGATTAAAAGCGAAAGTATCGCCACCCATTGCCCGAGGGAGGGCAGGCACAGACTCTCTTATCTGAGGCCTTCTCTACAGAAATCCTTGTCTTTGGAACATACCAACCTTCCCACATACCCTGCTCAGGCCTATCTATATAATTTTACATTTGTTACTCCATTCCTATTATTTTTACTTTGAAAACTAGGAACTCTTTTTTTACCCTCTTATCATCGGGTGATTTGGGGAAAAAAACAGAGAAAAAGAGGGAAAGAAATCACCACACACCACATATAAAATCTTAATTTAGCTTTCTTCCCCCCAAGATACGTTTAAAATAGTTTTGATGAAATAAATGAAAGAACAGGAGTCATGGGACTCCACACACATATATAATTGTAACATTTTAAACCCTCCCCATATTGGAGGATGGAAAAGCGTTAAGGGAGTGGGGTTGAGAAGAAAAAGACAAGTTCAGGAGACATCTAGGAGAGAGCTGGCTCACAGATGGTTCTCCTGAGCTATGTATTTCTCTGAAATATCTACTTGGGCCAGATCTGTACCAGGTACCAGGCCCGGCAAAAATTAACATGAGCTGGCCGATCAGCAAGAGAGCATGCAGAGACGCAGAATGTGGGCCCAGCACAGGAGCCACCAAGACAGAGGCTGGCACAGGCCGCTGGGGGCACAGAGGAAGGGCTCCGGGTCTCGCCAGGGTCTTCAGGGAAAGCTTTCTGCAGATGCCCCCAAGCTGTGTCTAGGATATGCTGGAACCTCACACGAAAGTAACAGAACACAGCGAGTGGGCACCCACAGCAGGAGCCAAGGTGTCTGGACTTCATCGTCAAGTGACAGGGGAGCATTGAAGGATGTTAAGCCGGGGAGGACTGGAGACTCTGGCTCCAGAATGGAGAAGGGGAGGACGGAGTCAGGGCTGGAGGAGGGGAGGCCAGTTTGGCACCAAGGCTGCAGGGCAGGCATGAAAGATGAAGGCTGGATGGAGAGAGCGAAAGCAGGAAACAGAAGAAAAGGAGTAATTTTAAGAAATGTGGAAATAAAGTTAGCAGGGCTTGTGGACTGACGGAGATGTGGGGTGTAGAAATAGAGGGGAGTGTCTGGGGTGCTCCGGGGGCGGGGGGGTGATGGTCACTATAGCTTCAGATATTCTGAGTGTGAGGAGTTCCTGGCGTATTCAAGCCGATATATCCAGTTATACACATGAGCAGTTAGACACCTGAGGGGAGCCCAGGTCAAGGATGGAGACACAAATTTGGGAGGCACCAACAAACAGAAGGGGGAGGGAGAGGGGAGAGAAAGAGAAGTATAACTCTCAGAAGGGTGGAAGGAGAACGAAAGAGGACTAGCGAGGGAAGCACAGACAGCAGAGAGGCCAGGCAAGGGCGACTTCCTCTGGAGATGGGGCAGGGGGTTACTGACAACTTTCCTCAGAGTAGGTTAAATGGAGTGGTGGGGAAACAGACGCCAGCTTGCAACGGGGGGAAAAGGAAACAAAGGTAGACTTTTTGGCAAAGAGCATAAGTGGATAGAGGCCAGAGAGCTGGCTGGGCAAGGAGGAGACAGGTGATGGAGATGTTTTTACAACTGAATGTGTTTACCATAGCACAGTGGGGCCAGTTAAAGGGATAGGGGCTGGAGGAGGAAGAACGGTTCTGGAGCACAGGCAGAAGGCTGGTCCTGAAGAGCGGAGTGATGGAGGTCTGGGTGGCGTGTTGAAGGGTAGGTGAGGGGAGGTCAGGCACTGACTGTTTGGCCCAGGATTCTGGAAGGGGGGCCAGGCCAGGGCTGCAGAGTGAGAGAAGATGTAGGGATCACAGCATGGGAGTCATGACCCCATGAGGTCAAAGGGCAGGTAGGATGGGGTGGGGACTTGACAGAGCTCCAGAGACAAAAGGTAGCCAGTGGAAAAGTAAAGTTTAAAACTTCTACTGTGGGTCCATCCTGAGGGGTGAAAAGTGTAGGGTGTGGGGCCTGCAGTGGATCTGGGGGGTCCTGGAAGCCAGCGAGATGGAGGGAGGTGGAGTTCACACACCCAAGAAGATGAGCACTCAGGCGCTGAGGTCTTCAGTGAACAAGGAAGAGGCCACATAGTGGTAATTAGATATCATCAACAGGGAAAAGTACAGGATGGTATTCCTGGATGGATTGTCCAAAAATGGGCACTGCAAAAGAACGATCTACTCAATAAATGGTGTTGGGAAAACTGGACAGCCACATGCAAAAGAATGAAATGGGACCTCTGTCTTCCACTATACACAATAATCTACTCAAAATGGATTAAAGACTTGAACGTAAGACCTGGAATGGAATTTATTTCACACAACGGAATTTATTCAGCCATAAAAAAGAAGGAAATCTTGCCATTTAAGACAACATGGATAGACTTTGAGGGCATTATGCTTAGTGAAATAAGTCCAATAGAGAAAGACAAATACTGTATGATCTCACTTAAACGTGGAATCTAAAAACAAAAACAAAATACGCATAAATACAGAGAACAGATTGGTGGTTGCCAGAGATGGGTGGTGGGCAAGATGAGTGAAGGGGGTCAAAAGGTGCAAATCCAAGTTATAAAATAAATAAAGCCTGGGGATGTGATGTACAGCATGGTGACTATAGTTAACAATACTGTATTGCATAGTATTTGAAAGTTGCTAAGAGAGTAAATCTTAAAAGTTCTCATAACAAGAAAAAAATTTTCTAATTGTGTATGGTGACAGATGTTAACTAGACCTATTGTGGGGATCATTTCTCAATATATGCAAATGTCAAATCATTATGTTGTACACCTGAAACTAACATAACGTTATATGTCAATTATATCTCAACAAAAAGTTAATTAATTAAAAAAAATGTTTTTAAATGGGGGCTGTGGGGTAACGGTTTGGAAGCAGTGATAGGAAAAGGTGGAGCCCAATCTTGGGCCATCTGGAGAAAGTGTCCCTTCAAGTTTGAGAGAATCACCCACTATTAACGTCTGTTCACACTCAACAGGGTGACCAGGAGTACCAGGTGTGCCAGGGCCACGTTGCCCGATGCGGTGGAGGGGTCAAGCTCAACCTTCTTAGAGGGGACACGGTTAATGGCCTGTATATAAAGCTTCTCTTCTTTCTTGACTCTTTCTGGAGACCCAATCTAAACTTTCATAGGAAGCAGAAATATCCCTAAACCCCAATTACTTCACCCAGTAACACACCTGCAACTAAAATCTCTGATTCTACACACCAAGGTCATGTCAACCATTAAGCTGAAAGAGTAACTTCTGTGGACCTGCCATAATCTTAGAGCGTATACCCACCTCAGAAGGAACATTCTCTGAGACTGGAACCCTCCCCACCTCCCGGGGGCCAACACCAGCAGGAGGAGTATTTTTCACCTTATTTGAAAACCTGGATGAAATACAAGAGGCAACTTTCCACTACATCACTAACAAAAGCCCAGGGACAGAAGACGAAAGGAGCTGTAATTTCAATCCGTGGCCTAAGGAAGACACTTTATTACAAGGGTTAAATAGTGTGACCTTCATGAACTGTGTAATTCAAATGGCAGACAACCTAAGTTACCTAAAAGTTCTTTGGTTTAATTTTAGAATAGGAAAAAAATGCAGTTCTTTTAGTTTTACCAGCACAATTTATCTAATTGCTACAAATTCCTTGCAATACCTGGTCCCTCTGTAATTGGAGGTCGGCCACACTTCATGGTTTAAGAGTACTGAAAACACTTTTGCTACGGAGTTGACACGATCTCCTCTCAAATCTAAAGATAAGGTAATGGTACCCCTTGGTCAAGCTCCGACCCTGTAAAGGAAGACGTGTCAGACATAATACAATTCAAATTCCGAGGCCTTACGATGTTGTCTGCCCAAATAAAAAGATAAAAATTTAAAAACCTACCGATACTGCGAGCGTGACACCATCCAGCTCGACCTTCCCCAGATGTCCACAGAATATGGAACTGACGATGCTATTAAGAAAGATCATCAGCTGTCCAAGGAACTGCCAAGGGAAGAGGAAGGAAAGGACGAGCTTACTCCAGCCCCGCCCGCCCCGGGGATGCTTCTCGGAGCAAAGTGGGACAGCGCGGGCCGGCGCTTGGTAAAACCCCGCATCCCGGGCCGGCCGGGGGGCGCCGCGGGGCCGC